CTCGGCTTGGTCTCGACCCTTGCACCGCGACACAAGCCTACCCTCAAGGCCCTCTTCCCCGAGTCCCACATCTCCCCTCCGAGGGCTCGTAAAAAAAAATGGCAGACCAACATGAGGTCGACCTCGAGTCCATAATCGATCGGCTACTCGAGGTGCGAGGCAGCCGACCTGGAAAGCAGGTTCAGCTCCTCGAGTCTGAAATTCGGTATCTCTGCACCAAGGCCCGCGAGATCTTCATCTCACAGCCCATCCTTCTGGAGCTTGAGGCTCCCATCAAGGTACGCCAGTCCTGACGCGTGTTCTCCGGCCTTCTTCCTGTCCCCTCTCTCAACTTTTCTTTCGACTCTTCCTCTCGAGAATAAGAGATATACTGACCAGACCCCAGATCTGCGGTGACATCCACGGACAGTACTATGACCTACTCCGTCTCTTTGAGTACGGTGGCTTCCCCCCGGAGGCTAACTACCTCTTCCTCGGCGACTATGTCGACCGTGGTAAGCAGTCGCTCGAAACCATCTGCCTGCTCCTCGCCTACAAGATCAAGTACCCCGAGAACTTCTTTGTCCTCCGTGGTAACCACGAGTGCGCCTCTATCAACCGTATCTACGGTTTCTACGACGAGTGCAAGCGCCGCTACAACATCAAGCTCTGGAAGACGTTTACCGACTGCTTTAACTGCCTGCCCATCGCTGCCATCATCGACGAGAAGATCTTCACCATGCACGGTGGCCTCAGCCCGGATCTGAACTCGATGGAGCAGATCCGCCGCGTGATGCGACCCACCGACGTGAGTATCCCTTGACCCTGCTGATGATGAGAACGAGACAGAAGAGAAGAAGATCTGGAAGGAGGACAATGATCGTCACAAGATCAGATGAAAGGCGACGAGGGAAAGATGAAACGGGCGACACAAGAAGAAGAGAAAAAAAAAAGACGAGACGTGGCGATAAGACCAAGAGCAAATGCTAACTTTCCGACCAGATCCCTGACTGCGGACTTCTGTGCGACCTCCTGTGGTCGGACCCTGACAAGGATATCACCGGCTGGAGTGAAAACGACCGAGGTGTCTCCTTCACCTTTGGACCGGACGTTGTATCGCGCTTCCTGCAGAAGCACGATATGGACCTCATCTGCCGCGCTCACCAGGTTGTCGAGGACGGATACGAATTCTTCTCCAAGCGCCAGCTCGTCACGCTGTTCAGTGCCCCCAACTACTGCGGCGAATTTGACAATGCGGGTGCCATGATGAGCGTCGACGAGAGCCTGCTCTGCTCATTCCAGATCCTGAGACCGGCTGAGAAGAAGCAGAAGTATGTACTGCATGTTGACGGTCTCGTCTTGACAGCACAAGCACAAGCAGACTGGGCAAACCCAACCACCC